AGATAATATACATTATACTTTTTAGCAAACTATGCTGTGTGCCTTTGGTAGTCACATATCCACAACCATCTGTCTCGTGTACTTTCAATCAGTTTTTACACAGATGATATTCCCTGCCATAATGTCAAATTGTCCAGTATTTTTTTTCCTCGGTTTCTGTCTGCCTCCTTTCCCCCTCCAAATTTCCCTCCAGTTGCTGTACTCCAGTTTTCTCCTTCTCATGACATGACCAATGAATGTAGATTGCTCCTTCTGATGTGGGTAGCCAGTTCTCGTCGCCACTCAGTTTCTGTCAGGACTTCACCATTACTTTTACTCATCAATACCCTTCAGTGTTATCTTATTATTCGTCCTCAAAACTACATCCCTGTCACATATCGCTCCTGTCACGTGCCTGATTTAAGGATTTCTCCTTAAGAACCAACAGCACTCTGAAATAATTATGTTGAGTCGTTGGCTCGTATTGGTCTAATGGATATTCCGTGGCCAATGTACGCTCAACTTATTTCAGGAGTAGGGCAACTCAAGCTTTGGCACTACAAAATATATAATATTCCTAGGCACACTTGGCTGGACACCCCCACTACTATAAAAAGGTAGCCCCCAGTTTATGATAGTATACTACCATGTTAACACAGATGAAGATATCTACAGAACATACATGTATTTTAGACAGCTAGGAACAATGCATGAGTGAGATTCCAGTCAATAGTGAAACTTTAGAAATACTGTAATAAGTGTAACACATACATTATATAAGAATCAGCAAAGAACTTCAAGAACCCAGAGTGATATGAAGGACCAAAACTTCAAACCCGATCTGACTGAACGTGTATGAATGTTCCAGAGTCTGCCTTGATCATCCTTATGATGAGTGTGGACATTTAATAGTGAAGCCTGGCAATAAACCCAGATTGCCCACACTTATCTGAATCCCTGGTTTCTTAAGCTGGCTGGATGTTCAGTCACTCTGTTGTTACGTTCAAGACAGTCCCACACTAGACACTCAAACACTGGAGATACACTCAAGCTCCTGGAGAGGATCTCAGGTACCAAGTCAAACACTTGAGGCACAAACAAACTGCCGGATAAATGATGATGGATGTACAACACCCATAATGTTGTTTGTAGACCAACTGGAGGATTTCATTACTTGATGACCCCAGTTAGGTTTATAATCTGATGCCCACCACTGGCTTAGACATAGGTGACTTCCTTGTAGGTGGTTTTGTGGACTGCTGATTCACTGCCTGGCCTCCAAGGAGATATCATCCTATATCAAGAAGGAACTCAGAATTAGCAGTCATCTCAGGGGTTACACGTCAAGCTCAGTTTATTAACATCCACATTAGTAATCATTCAGAGGACAGCTCCGAGAAAAATGAGACAGTATAAGTCTCTACATATCATCTCTATTGTTCAGTCAGTAACAGTGACAGGAGATGAGTGCCAGAGTGGAGACAGATAGACTATCAAACAGAGAACATCAACTCTCCTCGCCCACACGCACTTGTAGATATACATCCTATCTCTCTCTCATTTATATATATATATTTTATACCATCCCCCGTCTGTTCACCGTACACACTTTGTTGTGCTAAAAATAACCTTTGACTCAGAGCCCCGAGCTTGCTTTTGTCACAGCATCAAGCCGGCCAAAGATGACCCAGTTAACTTGTGTCTATTAGTCGATACAAATCCTACGTTTGGTTATAGAATAATTACTTGTAGGGTTTAATATCTATACAAATGGTGTGGGTTATGTAGAGCACAAACTATTTAGTCTGCACAGGGAAAGGTTTAATGTTCGGAGCCTGATCTCTGGACATCAAGAACGGCCCAACTCTGTGCGATCACACAGCTGAAACTTTCCTCTTGGCAGCAGTGGCCAACTTTAAAAAGACATATTTTATAGTACTCGTAAACTATAATCAACTTACCTAAGCTTAGGAAATGTCCTAGACACCAAAGGCCGCCTCCTCAAAGCATAGATGTACGAGGCACATTTGAGAACATCTGTTCTTCTAGGCAGTCAGACAGAAAATGCCCGCTTCAAACTACGTTTAGCGTCACTAGGAAAGAAGTCCCCTGTATTCATGCCTAAGGAGTAAACCGGCTTAAAGGAATTTCTGAATTAAATACCAGAAAGCTTTAACCTACAGTTGCAAGTTTGAAAAGGAAGATTTATCAAAGCAACTTGAGGGTCTAGAAATGAATATATTACGAGATAAAGGTATATATCAAAATAAGGGACTATATACCCTTCTGGACGGGTTTAAGTTTGAAATTTGACTGCCCGCGTAGGGTAGTCAGAGTCACGACTCGCCCATCGTGTAGGGTTGGCTGCTCACCTCACGACAATCCCTGACGCTTTCTCACAATTGTTCACTAATCACATTGTTACGATTAAGTCCTTGGGTACCTTGATAACAGCAGATGAAAGACGTATTAGTCAGAGAAAGGTCGAAGGCAAAAAGCAAGAGGTAGGCAACGATACAAGTGGGAAGACAATATCAAGAGATGGCCGGACAGCAGTCTGAGAGAGTGTACAACCAGCACAAGAGACAGAGCGGGTTGGGGATCCATTGCAACCAACCGTCATTGTGGAGACGGCACTTGATCGACTGACAGACGTTAAATGCAGAATAGTTCAAACAAAGACAACATTATATACAATGATACCTAAAGAGCCTTGAGCTCCCCCCTTCCTTCCCCACCTCCCGTTCCCCGGCAGCAGAGGGAGCTACTGGATACAACGTCAACAAGCCTTCATGACACATATCGCCACTGTTGCGATGAACATAAGATTCATGTACTAAGTGCTGAACATCTTATATATGTATGTAAATCTTTTTGTTTAAATTGCGGAACCCAATCGTCCCCATGTGGGATGCAATTTTTGGTTATTTGAAGCCCCACCTAGACTTTTGCCGGGGGCCCTGAGTATAGCCGGACCATAAATATGGACTAACGGCTGAAAGGGGTTTCTGGGACCTCTCCACGGGTAGTCCTCATCTACTTTGTGTCACCTGGTGTTTATCGCTCTGTGTGATGTCCTGGTGGGGTAAATTTAGAGAGAGATAGAGAGAAAGAGAGAGAGAGAGAGAGCAGAGAGAGAGAGAGAGAGAGAGAGGGGGAGGGGGAGAGAGAGAGAGAGACATTGTAAAAAAATAAAAAACATAGTAATCCAACTAAAAGGAACATTTTTAAGCAGCAAGGCGCCATAGAATAACTTTTATCTTTTTTTAAAACCTTAAATATATATACCCCTGGTATTACCCAAAAATAACATTAGGCTAAATGATGAAGAAATTACAAATGTCACAAACTCTGAATATCTAGGCTCTAAAACAAATAGCAATAGAGAATGACAAAAATCAAAAGGAGGATGGCCATAGCAATACAAAGAAAAAAAAAAGTATATGGTTAAGCACTAGCAAGAAAATCCAAATTAAAATTTTTTAAGATCACGCATCTTTCCTGTAGCAACGTACGAGTGTGAGACGTGGACTATCTCACAGTCCTTAAGAAAGAAAGAAAATAGGGGCTTTTCAGCTAAAACCATATAGAAAGATTCTCAGAATGCCATAGACAGTGATTCCCAAACTGTGCACCCCGGCGCCCCGTTGAGCCGCGACCTCTTCACGGGAGCGACACGAAATACTCGAAGATACACGAGTTTTATGTGTTTTTTTTTTTTTAAATCTCTTACGTACTTTCACTCAGGTTAGGGCGCCGTGAAAAAAATTTTAATTGAAAAAAGGCGCCACGACTAAGTAAAGTTTAGGAAACATTGCCATAGACGAAAAGGAAAAGAAATACTGGCATATTAAAAGATGTAAACATCAAGGAAGATTGGCTAATAAACAGCATCTTGTCTCGAAGCTGAAATAGTTTCGTCAAACAAAGCGCCAGGTCGGAATGGACAAAACAAAATAACAGGAGAAGGCATGGTACCAGGAAGGAGAGTCAGGGGCCGACCAACACGAAGATGGGCAGAGGACATAAATGATTCCTTGAATATGAAAGTGCATGAGGCGGGAGAACTGGCGAGAGATCGAGTTTTTTAAAGGCAGAGCAGACCGGTGATGAGAGCGACGTTCTGCAAAGCACCTGCTATGTGATGATGATGATGTTTGTGATATATGTACCGGTGAAAATTAAAGATAACTTGAAACAAAAACAAATACCTGTACACGCCATATTGAACAGACAATACAGAGGAACTTATACATTCTTTGTCAATTTCTTTTTAAACAACGCAGAAACAAAAAATGCACTTAACAAAAAGACAAAATATCTGTGAGAAATGTCCTGAAAAAGAAGTCATGCTCGTCGATCTGAAATTTTCTCAAACAGCCAAAATGTCTTGCAGAAATGTGTACAAGTTCCACTCCTCGATCTCAACATGTCTAAAACCGCCAAATTGTCTTGCAAGTTTCACTCCTCGATCTCACCTTGTCTAAAACAGCCAAACTGTCTTGCAAAAATGTGCACAAGTTCCACTCCTCGATCTCAACTTGTCTAAAACTGCCAAATTGTCTTGCAAGTTCCACTCCTCGATCTCAACTTGTCTAAAACTGCCAAATTGTCTTGCAAGTTCCACTCCTCGATCTCAACTTGTCTAAAACCGCCAAATTGTCTTGCAAGTTCCACTTCTCGATCTCAACTTGTCTAAAACCGCCAAATTGTCTTGCAAGTTCCACTCCTCGATCTCAACTTGTTTAAAACAGCCAAATTGTCTTGCAAGTTCCACTCCTCGATCTCAACTTGTCTAAAACAGCCAAATTGTCTTGCAGAAATGTGCGCAAGTCCTACTCGTTGATCTCAACTTGTCTAAAACAGCAAAATTGTCTTGCAGAAATGTGCACAAGTCCTACTCGTTGATCTCAACTTGTCTAAAACAGCCAAACTGTCTTGCAGAAATATGCTCAAGTTCCACTCCTTGATCTCAGCTTGTCTAAAACAGCCAAAATGTCTTGCAGAAATTTGCAGAACTGCTACTCGTCTATTTGGACATGTCCCACTTGTAAGTATCTGGACCAGGCAATGACTCGCTCAGAGAAGACCAGGTCGTACAACAAGCCCCCAGTGATTCCACCTCCTATTGGGCCCACCCAGTACACCTGCAGATTATATGAATGGTCAAAGTTCACATCCACAATTCTTTTTTTTTTTTTAAATCAGGGCTGCCAATGATGGGTTTTTACCCCCAGATCTGGGGCTTTATTTGACGCATTGGGTTCAAATTTTGAAATATTGGGTTTTTGGTTCTTAGCTAATGTTTCGCTTGGGTTTTTGTTCAGCTTAGCCGGGTTTTTCAAAAAGATTCCAATGGCAGCCCTGATTACTGGGGATGTTTTGACGGATAGGTGAATGGATGGATTAATGGATAGGTGGTTGGTTCGTTGGATGGATGGATAACTGGTTAAATGGATGGGTGGAAGGTTGGATGGATGAATGGATAATTGGTAGAATAGGTAGATCGATAGGTGGGTGATTTGATAACCGGTTAAATTGATAGATAAATGTATATGTGGATGGTTGCTTTGATGGATGGATGGATGGACTTATCATTAGCTGAATGGATGGATGGATAAATAGGGGTTGGTTAGATGGATGGATAGATAGGTAGATGTTTGGATAGGTGGATGGTTTTGAGTTAATGGATTGCTGGAAAATTGGTTGACTGGGTGGATGCATAGATGGTTAGTTAGATGGATGGATGGTTGGATGAATGGTAAGATAGATGGACGATAGGTGGTTTGTTGTTTGTATGGATTGATATATGAATGGATGGATAGATGGATGGGTGGGTGGATGGTTAGTTATATGGACGCATGGATGGTGAGACGGATGGATAATTGGACAGTTAGGTAAGTGAATGCTTAGTTAGATGGATGATTAGTTGGATAATGGATACAAGAATGGGTGGATAGATGGATGGGTGGACGGATAGGTGGACGGCTGCCTTTTCTTCCCAGGACTGTGCCTAGTACCCACTGGGTCAACATGGGAGCCGAGCTTATTTTTTAAGGGGGAAAAAAAAGTCCGGCTCCGTCAGGGCCTGAACCCACGACCTACAGACCCGCAGGTGAGCATCTAGCCGCTACACCACGGCGACTCCCAGATGTGTAGACAGGTATTGACCAATGTCAGCTGTGCGCTTGGTGCAACACTGTGTGCGGTTCAGCAGCTGTCCGTTTCGAACACAAAGAATGAAACACTGGGAGATAGAAAAGGTACTAGGGCTAGTGAGAAGATTTCGGAGACAACTGAGATGTGGTTCTTGAGAAGAGTTTTGAGTCAAGAATTGACATCACCGCACTCAGGGCATTCCTATGCGTGCTCCGTCCTCATCTTCAGCAGCCAATGCAGAGTTCCAGTACTGACGGTGCCGGTCACAATCTGGTTATATGTCCGGTTTGCCTTTCCTCTGAGTGTAGTGAGCAGGCCAGACCCTCTGGTTACACTCAGGTGCCTCATTCTCTCCAGGCCATAATAATCTTGTTTCTCTACTGACTCGTTTGCTTGCTTCCAAAGGGCCTTGACCACATCTGCCTTGTCGTGTATTAATTCACCACCCAGTGGTGCAGATCCAGCCAATCTGTCTGCCTGTTCATTACGTACACAGGCATCGCCTGGAAAAGATCTAAACTAGGCTCACTACCCGTGACCTTCCCATTGAAGCTTGTCACTCTGCTCGAAGCATACATAACTTCACCTTTCTCAGCATGCCTTCAGAGTCTGTTACAGTTACGACATGTGTATGCATCTTGTTCTCTAGCCACCGGAGAGCTGCAGTTACCGCCTCCACCTCCATTCTCATGCTAGATCTTGTGATGTCGTATGCTAGGCTGTCTTGCACTTAATATTTTCCATTGGCTTTCGCTACGAACTCCCAGGCACTTATCTTTCATCTCAACACCGAACCATCTGTATAGATAATCAGATCACCTAGGCGTGAATTCTTGAGAAGAATGTTGTAAATACCTTGGACTGCTAGAATAACTAACAATTATTTCCTGGAGATGGCTAACGAAAGTAGAACATTATGTACAACAATAAGAATAAGACAAACAAAGTTTGTTGTTCAAGTATCGAAAAAAGGAGCACCGAAAAAATACAGTGACGACTGGAAAGATCACTGGTAGAAGAGGCCGAGATAAAATAAGAGAAATGACGGTGGATGGCTTAAGACAGTGGCATGGAGGAATATGATCACATTGGAACTGATCCAGAAAACTAAAGAGCGAGATCTGTGGAGATGTGTGAGCGCCTACGCCAGCTGACAAGGCACTTGATGATGATGATGACCGATACTTGCGACAAAGTGTCGAAACAAGGTGTCTATACTGGCGACATAGTGTCCAGAAAAAGTGCAAGTTCTTGCCACTAAGCGTCTGTTACAGTAGCACACTGTAACAAAAAAAAAAAAAAAAATAGGCATCCTAAAAAATAAAGAGAATGCTAAAATGTTACATAGAACCTGTTCTGCTGTATGGCAGTGAATCTTGGAATGTCAGTGAACAAATAGGAAAGAATTTGGAAGCCACAGAGATGTGGTTTCTGAGACGAATGTTACGAATACCTTGGATGGCCATAGTAACAAACAACGATTGCTTGAAAGTAGATAGTTAAGGTAGATCTCTATAAACAACGATAAGAAAAAAAAAAAAAAACACTGTTCTTTGGCCACATAATGAGAAGAGAGACATTGGAGAACATCGTGACAACCGGAAAGATCACTGGAAAAGGGGTAGAGGCAGACAAAGAGAGATGATGCTGGATGGACTGAAACGATGGCATGGAGGGATATCATCAAGAGAGCTGTTCCAGGCAACCAGGGATTGTGATCTGTGGAGACGCACGAGTGCCTACGCCAGCTGGCAGGGCACATGATGATGATACCAAAAAAAAAAAAAATGGCGACATTACTTGGTACCGACAAAATCCAAGCACGTATGAATAAAAAATGGAATTTGTCACAACTGGTTGAGCTTACCCAATGGGCGTCCCAGTTCCCGTGAATGAGTGCCGGACCAAATGACCTGGCTGGATTCATACCCGCCCCAGTTAGCTCGGCCTGAAATGATCCGTGGGTGAACAGGGGGTTGAAAGTATTGGTTGGTGGTGATGAAGCTATTATAGTTACAGAGTGTCTGTGAGCAGGGCTGGATTCAACATTATGCACACTAAGTACCTGCTTCGGGCATCACAAAGGGCGGGGGCACCACATAAATTCTCTACAGCCTTGGAGAAGAGCGGTTTTTTTCCCCCTCGCTTGAAGTATATTTAAAAAATCCCAAAGTTGAATTAACAATTGACATCATAGCACTCAGGATACTCCCATAAGCGCTCCGTCCCCAGTTTCAGCAGCAAGTGAAGAGTTTTAATTCCGATGGCTCCAATAACTGTCTGATTCTATATCTGTCTCTCTTTTCCTTTAAGTGTCGAGCGTCGGCCGCATCCCCTGGTAACTCCTCGCAGCGCCATTCTCTTCATACCGTAATTATCCACCTGTGCCTCGCACTGTTCATTCGTTCCAAAATGGCTCTTAACACATCTAGTTTACAACATCAAAACAACAGTGCAACAGGACCGGCTGGATACCTCATCACTATTAAGCAGATAAGCAGATGTGTTACGTAAGATTAGACTTCGCATTTTAAAAAGTAGGAGAAAGCTGTTCAAATATAAATAAATTAAAAGAAAAAAAAATTGACATTATTTCCTATCTTACTGTCAGTTTTATTTAAATACAATTATATTTCATTGTTTATTATAGTTTAGATTTTGAATTACATATATATTCGGGCACCATTGCCGTCAGCTCGCTGGGCACTAGCCAGGGCCCTACAAGCATAGGGGCTTTATGTTAATTTGTGTATGTCAAATGACTATCTACATTTCATTTCCATAAGTCAGCGGTTCTCAACCTGTGGATCGCCTAAGACAATCTGAAACCACATATTCATTGAAGTTATGAAGGATAATAATTGTTTGGGGGTCGCCACAACATGAGGAAACTTTATTAAAAGGTCGCGGCATTGGGAAGATTGATAGCCACTGCCATAAGTTGTTGTCGCAAGGGCTTTTAATGATGTTAAAACGGCTTGAAGTGGGGAATGGGCAGCACAAATCTTTTAAGCGCTGAGGGCATCAAAAGGTCGCAATACGACTCTGTCGGCGTGTATAAACGGTTCTGGTGCTCACGTAGTCCGAACGGATTTAAAAAAAAAAAAACTCAGATAAGAGGAAAAACTGACACAGTCTCATGTTTCTTGTTGTGTACCAGTGGGGAGGCGTGCATGTGACGGCTTAAATCTCCGCCATATTGCCAAAGAAAAATGCAGTATTGTACTATTTTATTATTTTTCATCATCATCATGTTGTGCCCTGCTAACTGGCGTAGGTGCTCATGCGTCTCCCTGGTTGCCTGGAACTGCTCTCTTGATGATATCCCTCCATGCCATCATTTCAGCCCATCAGCATCATCTCTCTTGGTCTGCCTCTATCCCTTTTCCACATCTCTGTTGCTTCAAAATTCTTTCTAATTTGTTCACTGCTTTTTAACTCCGGCGCACATTTTCCATCTGATGAAATGATTGTTGTTCCCAGATTTATTACTACTGTTTACTATTTACTACAAACACCCCCCTCGGTTAACATCTTGAACTTGGCGAAAAGAACGCTCGCTGCATGATTACTGATGCCACTTTATTGTACCTATTCTAAACAGCGAAGTGACGAGGATGAAAATATCACGCGATATCTTCTTCGGTGTGATTGTTACCTGTTATAAAACTCACACATGCGAAGTATTTACTCACCGTTGTTGTTTAGACAGGCCCCCGTGTGGGTTCCGGGGCCCTTTTGTGGGGAAAACAAGAATAGACCCACTGCCTCCCCAAAAGCATGTCGTAAGAGTCGACTAACTGGGGAGCTTCTTTTGAAGTCGGAGTGCATCTGCCTGAGAGGCAAGGAACCAGCAGTCTGCATTCAATTGAATCAGATCTGTAAAACTGATGCACACGCAACACTCAGGTTCTGGAGCAGGACTGCAGTCCAGAAGTGGACGAACAACCAGAACTTTACGCCAGAGTGTACAGCTGGTGAACGCGAAGAAGAAGAAGAAGTTTAGACATATATACGCATTAATACACAGACATAAGTGGGCTGGTTGGTTGGTAGCCAGACAGGGACAAGCTAAACTAATCTACAAAACATCTATAAACGCATTATCTACCTTTATTTAACCAACTTCTTTGTCTGTCTGCCTGCAAACATACTTGTTTATCTGGATGCTATTTTTTTTCTGTCTGCCTCGTTGCTAGTCAGTCTGTCTGTCAAAGAAAGCTATAAGGCCAAGTCTATAACAGGAATATGTCGAAGTATTATAATTTTTGCGTATCCTTTGCAGGACGTTGCAGAACCAACCCCAGCGTTTTTTTTGGCTATTATGATTTTTCTAAGGCAAATATACGATTCAGTTATGAACTGAGAACACGCCAATGAAGGAACCGCTTGACAATATTCACAAGAGGCAGCGGCGTAGCCCCAAAAAAAAAATGGGGGGGGGGGGGGGGTTGACAAAATGGCAACAACAGGTACTTCTACCATAAAAAGGTTGTGAGACAGGAAATGTTTCATACTGGGCACCACGTGACCTGCTACGTTCCTGACCGGGCAACACCTATAGAAAAAGAGGATGAATTATACTGCAACTTCTTGCTTGTTCTTTTTCCTCATCCTCCTTCCAGAGGGGCGGATGGAAATATTCAAATGCTCATGAAGGGAACGGCTATATATGGTGGGGAAGAGGCCCGAAAGGGTGGGGGGGGGGGGGTGATCCCTGTTTCCTAATTTGATTTTTTTTGCGGGAAGGGGGCAAGCACGGTGCTTGAGATCACCGCATCTAGCGCCTATGACTGGGACTGGTGGCGAAGTGGTCGGGACGTTTGCCTCGCGCTCTGAAGGTCGTAGGTTCGTTTCACTTCGGCGCCGTTCAGTTTACGGGTGCAGTATTCACAGAGATCCCTGGGGATCGTCACAGAAGCTACTGTCGTGCTCTGTGGGACGCTCTTGGCAGGCAGCTAGCTGTTCTGCAGAGAGAGACTGAACCATATGGGATTAAACCCGGTGAATTGAACTCGATCCTCTCACCTTTACCTTTACCTTTACCTTTGCAAAGCCATGTAAAGGGTAAGCAACTAGCGTAGTTTACGGCTTTCAGTCGCGGCAAAGCCATGTAAAGGGCAGGCAACTAGCGTAGTCTACGGCTTTCAGTCGCGGCAAAGCCATGTAAAGAGCAGGCAACTAGCGTAGTCTACGGCTTTCAGTCAGGGTTTCAAGTCTTACAAACTGTAGGAGTCAACTTACATGCTGGGCACAAAATGCCTCAGCGACTTTCGCAAAGGTGGAGACAAGTCATTGAAGCTGCATTGGTTGTGAAAGCACATAGGGCTGGGGAACTGGTTAGAGAAAGGAAGCCGTTCAAGAACTGCTGTGGGGTGATGATGATAAAAAGCCTTAAATAGGTATAAGCCTATCTCATAATTTTGAACTTTTTATCTTAAGATCGACTTAGACACCAGGTGTGCTTTACGCTGCAAATTATTTGTATTTTCTGGGAAAGGGGTGGGGGCAGGCGGCTGAGAGCACAAGTTATTATTTATTTTACCTTTATCTCATTGTTAGCATTGTCACTACATTGGCGACCAGGTCGCACATTGGCTGGCCGGTAGACGACTTCGTCGTCGATCGAGTCTGTATTTGGGTCTGTCCTTCTTGATTGCACCAACACTGCAGGAGTCATTTTCATGGCTAATCGGTGACGAGAACTGCTAAGCCATTGTATATGGCCACCGTAAACTCAGTCCCAATTATAACCTTAAGCTTCCCCTTTAGGGGCGCTGGCTGAAAGTGTGTATTCTTTTTTCCTCGCAAATCAAACAAGCAGGCACTATTAGCATTAGATAGTTAGAAATGACACCTATACACAGAACTTCAATAGAAAAGCCAACATACAGATCTGAAAATACTCACCGCCATATTGACCAATGGAATAATGACACCACCAATCATCAAAGCGTGAGAACCGCCGTGATCCATTCTATGGTGGTCAGTGGTGGCAAACACAAAGAACAGCAGGATGAACGTGATGAAGAACTCGATGACACATCCCTTGAACTCGTCAATTCCCAGTTCTCGATTGAGCAGCGTTTGACAAGTTGTGCTTACCTGTGAGACAACAATAGCTTCAGAACCACTGTCAGGCTACATCAGTCGGGGTCCCAGCTTCATCCCAAACGGGTCACCCCATAGTTGCTCTGTCCACTGACGGTGAAAACCCAAACAAAATGTATATCGCTTTCAGTCAAACAGACAGCGGTCACGGCCTAATCCAGCAACTTAGACACGCATACATTTCTAAGGCAGTCACCAGACATGCCAATACCTACAGTATGTCACTAGGACTGCTACAATTTTATGGAGGCAGACGTCAGGACAAACCAAGCAGGTGCACACGCATTACTGCCTAAGGCACACTACCAGTTCTGTGGCAAACAGCCATACGCCCTATTTTTATTATGCAGTTTACAACGCACATCTCCATGGGCTTCCCCCCCCCCCCCCTAACAAGCCAGCTTTCCCACCTCGTCCATTTTTCGACCCAAGGTATCACTGCGCCTATCTTCGTACTAGTCGGCCCCTGCCCCTCTTTCATGGCACTATGCCTTCTGCTATTATTCTTTCGAATCCGCCATGGCGCTTGATATGACCCCCAAAAATGTCAGTTTCTGAGATAAGGTGCTGTTTACTAGCCAGTCTTCCATGACGTTCAGATCTCTCAGGGTATCACTTACTACAGACCACCAGGGTGATCAGTTTCCCTAGATGCCATCTGGTATTCCCGAGTAATGACAGATGAATGGATGGACCTGAAAACTGATGAATGGATGGTTGGGTAGATAGAATGATACATTAATTGATGGAGGGATGGGTGACATTATGGTTGAATATGTGGAAGGATGGAATGGTAGATGAATGAATAGATGGACTGACACAGTATAGATGGTAGAAATATCTAAAGACAACACATTAAACAGACAAGCAATCAGACTCAGAAATAGACAGTATAGAAAACATGGCTGATGAAATGTGCAGACACACAGACCAGCAGGCGGACAGACCAGCAACAAGGAATCCTCAACACTGGAAAGACTGGCACAAAAGTAACAATAGGCAGTAAAAGGGTGGTCGGAGGCAGATAGACGATAAGCACAACGGAGGTTCCACGATGCCCGCGCACACACACACGCACACAATCACACACAAAGACCCAACAAGACCGCGGATGGGAGGATAGCAGCCCAGAAAGCCCTAGTCCTTATCAGGACTCAACCAGTCAAGATCCTCTGAAGGCAGTCCAAGACCCATACAGCAGAGAAACACCCAGCCCCAACAAGAGAACAGGCTGACCTGGGCGGTCAGCAGACCAGGAGAGAACAAGTTACAGGGGGCCGCTTAGCGCAGTCGATAAGAAGCTCGCTTTCAAATCCAGCTGCGATTCGCTGCAGCCCACGGTTGGTGTTCGAAACCGGGCGGCTCCCGGGGTTCACCCAGCCTCTAGCTAGGAAATGGTACCAGAGTGATACTCTGGGGTAAATGGAGGAACGTCGCTGTAGCTACAGAGTTACGTGCGAACGGCGACACAGGCGAACAATTCTTTTCAGCTGTCCGTACTGGTGGCAGAGCACTTATGGTTTATAACAGTGTGCAATGACGCTGGTTCACATCTCCCGACTTTACCTTTACCTTTAACAAGTTACACAAATCAGCATTCAACGAAATAACCGCCAAACAAAAACTGAGATGAACATGCAGGCACACAAACACAGAAACATATACGCACACAAACACAGACACATACAGGCACACTCACACAGAAACATACAGGCACACACTAACACAGAAACATGCAGGCCCACAAACACAGAAACATATACGCACACTAACACAGACACATACAGGCACACTCACACAGAAACATACAGGCACACTAACACAGAAACATACAGACACACACACAGAAACATACAGGCACACTAACACAGAAACATACAGGCACACTAACACAGAAACATACAGGCACACTAACACAGAAACATACAGGCACACTAACACAGAAACATACAGGCACACTAACACAAAAACATACAGGCACACTAACACAGAAACATACAGGCACACACTAACACAGAAACATACAGGCACACACAAACACAGAAACATACAGGCACACTAACACAGAAACATACAGGCACACACTAACACAGAAACATATAGGCACACTAACAACACAGAAACACATACAGGCACACACTAACACAAAAAACATACAGGCACACTAACACAGAAACATACAGGCACACTAACACAGAAACATATAGGCACACACTAACACAGAAACATACAGGCACACTAACACAGAAACATACAGGCACACTAACACAGAAACATATAGGCACACACTAACACAGAAACATATAGGCACACTAACACAGAAACATATAGGCACACTAACACAGAAACATACAGACACACTAACACAGAAACATACAGGCACACTAACACAGAAACATACAGGCACACTAACACAGAAACATACAGGCACACACTAACACAGAAACATACAGGCACACTAACACAGAAACATACAGGCACACACTAACACAGAAACATATAGGCACACTAACACAGAAACATACAGGCACACACTAACACAGAAACATATAGGCACACTAACACAGAAACATACAGGCACACTAACACAGAAACATATAGGCACACACTAACACAGAAACATACAGGCACACTAACACAGAAACATACAGGCACACTAACACAGAAACATATAGGCACACACTAACACAGAAACATATAGGCACACTAACACAGAAACATATAGGCACACTAACACAGAAACATACAGACACACTAACACAGAAACATACAGGCACACTAACACAGAAACATATAGGCACACACTAACACAGAAACATATAGGCACACTAACACAGAAACATATAGGCACACTAACACAGAAACATACAGACACACTAACACAGAAACATACAGGCACACTAACACAGAAACATACAGGCACACTAGCACAGAAACATACAGACACACTAACACAGAAACATACTGGCACACTAACACAGAAACATATAAACACACTAACACAGAAACATACAGGCACACTAACACAGAAACATACAGACACACTAACACAGAAACATACAGGCACACTAACACAGAAACATACAGGCACACACTAACACAGAAACATACAGGCACACTAACACAGAAACATATAGGCACACACTAACACAGAAACATACAGGCACACTAACACAGAAACATACAGGCACACTAACTCAGAAACATACAGGCACACTAACACAGACACATACAGACACACTAGCACAGAAACATATAGGCACATACTAACACAGAAACATATAGGCACACTAACACAGAAACATATAGGCACACTAACACAGAAACATACAGACACACTAACACAGAAACATACAGGCACACTAACACAGAAACATACAGGCACACTAGCACAGAAACATACAGACACACTAACACAGAAACATACTGGCACACTAACACAGAAACATACAGACACACTAACACAGAAACATACAGGCACACTAACACAGAAACATACAGACACACTAACACAGAAACATACAGGCACACTAACACAGAAACATACAGGCACACACTAACACAAAAACATACAGGCACACTAACACAGAAACATATAGGCACACACTAACACAGAAACATACAGGCACACTAACACAGAAACATACAGGCACACTAACTCAGAAACATACAGGCACACTGCTGGCATTAAGCTGAATATGAACTACATACTTTTTCACCCCGTAAGTACTTGTGGAAAGCGGATCCGGCGGTGCAGCCAACGAGTTGCACCAGGATGTAAGCAATGCATCTGAAAGAACAAAAAGCGTAAACAAGCTGTACATTTCCCCCAAGCTAGGGTCATCCCCCGTCCCCATGTGTTACGAATTTGTTCGTTATTTTGAAGGAACAAAATGCTGGAGTGAAAAAAGAAAAGGGGGGGGGGGGAGTAAGGTGTTAAACTAACTTGCTTGTGATGTCGCCCTTTTATCTGAAGATATTATGGGCATCTACAACGGTACGTTTTCTGGGTCCTCCCCCGCCCCAACCTCTTTTCCACAACCAACACATCCGACATTAGCGAATTCCTAATTAGTAGCCGATTGCGAGATGCTTGTAGGTAGCCAGTGGGTCTCTTCTTTTCTCCCCTTAATATGGGGCCCCGGAACCCACATGGGGACTTTAGTAGTAAATTAGTGTCTAAGAATAATGGCATCTCATCATCATCATCGTTATCATCGTCGTCTTCTTCCTCTTCTTCTTTTTCTTCTTCTTCTTCATACTTTCTCAACCAGCTGTGAGGGTCAGCTTTATATAGAATGGTGTATAACTTATGAATTTTGAAACCTAGTAATTCTAATTAATGTGGCCAGAATAACTTTAGCTCTGCGAAGTCGCCGCAGGCGCAAGAAGGAAAAAACTGATGAGGACGATGAGGATGAAAATAACAACGATACTGACAAAAATGATAACGATAATGATAACGTTAACGTTGATGATGATAACGATGATGATGATGATGATGATAAGAACGATGATGATGATAATAATGATGATGATAATAATGATAATGATGATGATGATAATAATAACATTAACGACGATGATTGTGATGGTAATAACGATGGTGATGATGATGATGATGATAGCGATGATGATGATAGATGATGATGATAATAACGATGATTATGATGATGATAATAACGATGACGATAATAACGATGACAATGACGATAATAACGATGATGATGATGAAAACGACAATGACGATGACGACGGCGATAATGATGACAACGACGATAATACATTATTACAATGATGACAACGATGAAGATAATAGCGATAATATTACGACGACCTGCTCACCTGGTTAAAGGGATTCTGGAGTTGATGAACATGCTGATAGTGACGGCAGGATTCAGAAAGCAGCCGCTGACATGCGCAATCGTCCAGACAACAGTTGCTATGGTAAATCCCCAAGACAGAATGATGGAAGCCATGTTTAGATGCTGAGGGAATAAAGTGTCGTGTCAGTAAACACAAATCTACACGGCTATATTTGATGTCATGGAGAGATATCCAACACTCAGATAATGATTGCATTTCATGTCTCGACACTTGAATAATTTTAAAAGACAATTGGTCAATTTTTTTCCCTTTATTTTTCATAAAGAACAAATGCGCATGACATTTTATTTTCTTTTGTAAGTTTTAACCATGAGATTTATTTGTTGTGAAGCATTATGTCACAACAATGGCAACTCATTCACACTTGAACAATCAAAAAATCTAAAGGTATTTTTGTGTGTGGCTAAGTCACAACCCGGTTGTTTTCTGTTAAGTCACCACATCACGCCAAGTGCTATTTGTCGTCTCCGATTAATGAAAGAGATTTAGATTGGTTTTTTTTCTGTTAAGTCACCACATCACGCGTATTATATGGAAATCCCATATTATAGGGGGTCACAACCCGGTTGTTTTCTGTTAAGTCACCACATCACGCCAAGTGCTATTTGTCGACTCCGATGAATGAAAGAGATTTAGATTAGTTCTTTTCTGTTAAGTCACCACATCAGGCGAATTATATGGAAATCCCATATTATAGGGGGGTTCGGATGAAAATCTGTTGCATTTCCAAACGCCAACATCCTTTCTCTTCATGGTTTCCTTTCCACAAAAGGGGCATGTGTAGAGGCTGTGTTGTGTAAATTTCATCTTTTTGACAGACTTTCTAAGTGGGGCACCAAATCTGGTACCATATTTCACACAAAGGACACGTGTATGTGGCTGTGTTGTGTAACCTTCATGATTAGACAGATTGTTGACGGTCACTGCGGGAGTCGCAGACAGACAGGCAGGCTGGCAGACAGGCAGACAGACAGACAGACAGACAGACAGACAGACAGACAGACAGACAGACAGACAGACAGACAGACAGACAGACAGACAGACAGACAGACAGACAGACAGACAGACAGACAGACAGACAGACAGACAGACAGACAGACAGACAGACAGACAGATTAAGACAGACCGACAGACAGACAGACAAATAAACACATTTCCCACAGTGCTGGATTTATACTTGATGAGGCCCTAAGCTAAACAAAGCCCTGATGCCCCTGTGGTTTTAAATTACACCAGCATATCTGAGAAAACTGTAAAACATTTACGTCATTTAAATATGCGGTTGATGGAACTATACTGTCGTTTAATTGTTAGTAAAAGAAACAATCACCTAGGTCCAATTCCAATCGTCTCGACATTGTCCTGCCATTGGATCAAGACGGACACCAGCGAAAGATCGAGGGTCGACGAACTGCGCAACTCTTCTTCGCTTAAATCCAAGTCCTTGCGCAAGTAAGTCACTTTCATCCTGCTTCGTGCTGCTTATCCCACGCTTCCATGTTTTGTCCGCACTGCTCAAGAAGTATCCAGGCTCATATTGAACTAATCAGCCACCTTCGTATTTATGATCATACTAAATGCCATAGGCCGTGCTGTGTGGAAAGGGCATATCAGGAAGGGAATGAGACTGAAGGAAGAAATGATTGCAGAAAGGATGAGAGATGAGCGTCTGAGAAGAAACGGATTAAACACAAATGCTGACAACAATGGTCCTGAAATCCCACGCTATCATTATGGAAGACCTTTCTTGACACGGGCGGGTCTTGCTAGTCACACTCGCAATCGCCATGGGCTGTGAGTCCTATGCCTCAACATAGCACAATATAACACTATCGTCCGGAAAAACGGAAAGGAGCCAATGAATGATGATCATTTTCTACTTTGGATGAAATTTGTCTTCATCGCTGGTGATGGACGCACAACACAAGAAACATTCTCAAAAGCTCTACTATAACCCGATAAAAAATGCTCTATTAAAAGGAAGCTGCATTTAAAGTATATTAAAAGATCTTTTAACTGGTGGGTTAAAAAATTGGAATTTGCTGAGGCCATTGCAAATTGCGAGGGCTCAGCTTATTTAGCTTATGCCTACATGATAAGTTCCCACCAACACTTGGAGGGTACAGGTTAAATAAAGAGACATGGTTCAATGCTGCAGTTTTCGCCTACGATGTGTACGAGGGATTTCAGATTAAAGAAGAGACATGTGCGGCAGTGTTGGACTTAGAAGATGCCTACAATAAAGTACCATACGATTATTTAATGCAATTACTGCTTAAACTAGAAGTTAATCCTATTCTGATCCGCTGGATTGCTGCGGTCCTGTTCCAGAGAAAGATTGTACTAAGATGTGGTAGCTGGTCCTCCGAACCGCAAATGATATGTCCAGGCTTGCCACAGGGATCACCGCTATCACCAGTCTTATTCAACGTTTACACGGTGATGATCACTGAGCAGCAGTTGAATGGAAAGGGAAGGACTTTGTCATTTGCTGATGACATTTTGATTTATCGACGAGGGCGTGATAGACAGGAGATCGCCAGCACTATGCACAAAGAACTCGATCGAATTGCCGCCTGGTGTGATGGTTCCAATGCCTATGTCAATCCTTCGAAGGCATCAGTGTCATGGTTCTCTTTGAACAATCACATTGTCAAGTCGGACTTACCAGAAGTGAAAATGCGTGATAATGTATTGATCAGAACCAACGTTATGACGTTTCTCGGGGTGAGGTTCGATCGCAGCTTGTCATTCAGGGAACACGTTGACCATGTGATAACAAAAGCACGCAAAGGTCTATCTGCAATGAGGATTATGGCTGCTTCCAATATTGAGCAAAGACTACTAATACTTCTATTCTACGGTCTGGTCCTTTCCCCCATAGAATACGCTCTGGCCATCCTCACTGTCAGTGCTACCCAGATTGAACGACTCGAAAAGGTGCAAAATGAAGCCATGCGCATTATTTTGGGATGTACTAGAGACACATCCTGTGGAGCAATGAGGTATCTACTTGACTTTCCAACAATGAACCAAAGGATCAGGATGTGGAGGGCTCGGGCATATCTCAAAATATGCGCTGATAAGAAACACCCACTGCATCAAGCGCTTTTTAGTGAAAAGGGCGACAGACTGAAGAGGGGGAAATCGTGGCTAGGTCGGGCAGAAGATGTCATTAGGCAAATATGCAGCCTAACCGACATCATACCTGGTGCAGAATGGATACCTGTGCCTCAGGCGTTTATTTGTACATTTTCCTGTATTGTCACACTCAACAGGCGATGTAGAGAAGAGAATCCTGTTGCTGTTAATGCAGAGGTCAATGCTCTCATCGGTGAAAATTCAGACGAAGCAGATGCAATAATCTATACAGACGGATCCGTTATACGCCAAAGAAGAAGCGCATGGGCATTTACAGCACGCTCAGCGGGCAGAACAGTCAAAGAAGCCAACGGCGCCTTCTCCATGACAACCAGCAGCATGACGATGGAGGTGATGGCAGTAACGCAAGAGCTTGCCTGGCTTGAAACACAAAAATACACCCGCGTGTGTATACTCAGTGATTCAATGAGTATGATCCGGAGGGTTCAGGCAGGTTCAGTGCTTGAATCATTACAGAAGTCCACTGTTCGTGGAGTCACCTTTATTTTTGTTCCGGGACACGCAGGCGTCGATGGAAATGAAAGAGCTGACAGGTTGGCTGGATCCGCTATCACTACCGACGGTCAGCCTATGGATCATGCTGATATTATCAATGCCCTCAGAGAAATGGGAAGAATAGAGACTTTGGTGGCAGTGAATCACATCACTCGCCAGAATGGCAGACTTGGGAATTAAGATCGGCACAGCAAAAAACGATACGCACACCAGCTACGCCATTAATGCCCTCAGAGAAATGGGAAGAATAGAGACTTGGTGGCAGTGAATCCAATCATATGGCAGACTCGGCACAGCAAAAAACGATACGCACACCAGCTACGCCAGAAGACTTGTTAATCAACATAGAACTGGTACTATTAGCCATCGGACGTTGGGGTTCATACTGAGGGGAGGATCTGAGTACCTATGGACATGTCCGGAGTGCAATGAGGATAACCCAACTAACTAACTAACTAACTAACTAACTAACTAAGCTTATGCCTAAATCCAGCACTGCTTAACACACACAAGAATTAGAACAGTACTCACAGCATCCGACCCTTGCGGTTTATAAGGTGTGATGGCGCTGCAACCCAAAGTAACCAGAACGAACGATCCGAAGAATTCCGTGAACAACTGCCTGTAAAAGTTGAGTTGGGTAACGTCGTCAAGTCCAAACCTCTCGTACCTATCCTCCAGTTTATGGCCCAGCCTGTTCTGGATCCCGTAGGTCTTGGTCGTCCTCAGGACACTTGCGTGGAAGTCATCCCTGCTCATACGTTGGGACGAGCGTCTAGACTTAGGCTGGCTGAACGACCCGGTGATTCCTAATTCAAGCTCGCCTTCTTTTCTATCTCCAGCGTTTGT